AAACCTTGAACATCAGTGAAAACTAACATTGCACAAGTCCCTTCTAGACCCCTACAAACCGTTCGCTGTAAACAGTTTTTTTTAAAGAGCTTTAAGCACAGAAAAATAATCAAAGTTTGAAAAATCCTTAATTACACAAAATAATGCACAGTTTAACAGAGAAAAAACTTAAATAACACAGGAAAAACATACCGTAAACAACCAAGAAAACAAAATGAATTCAAAAACACACGAAATACAACACAAGGAGTTCACAGTAAATGAACACACATCTGACCGAGACTGACTACAAGGTGAGAGTCTCTGTTAGGTGTACACAAACAACAGGAAGTGGGGGAAAACTGGCATGCGAAACAAATGGCACAGAATGCAAAAATTGGTGCAGCTGTGTTTGTTCGGCACCTGATTACGTGTTCGTGACCAGACGCAAAAATTTGGAAATTTTTGGGTTGTGAACCAATCTGTTCATGTTCGGAAGCGTTCGTGACCAGAGGTTCCATTGTAAGTGTATGTGCTTATATATTAGAATTACATACTTTTATCTTAAGCCAGTCTTAAGTCTGTATACATAAAGTATGCGCAATGATTTTTTTTTTTTGTTCAGTTATGTTCTATCAGTCTTAGGTAAAGTTTAAGCTTGTTAAAATGCTCTTCACAACTATGCAAAACATGGAAATAAACACCGAAATTTCCTAATCTAGTACCACTATTTACAAATTGTCAATTACTGTTTTTTATTATTCAATGAATAATCTTGCAACTTTCATGTTAACCATTTTTAACTCTTGTAAATAGTACTCAATAGTTCTTCTAATAGGTCTGGTATTGTATATAGCCCTAGCTCTAGTCTGAGTTTGCCTGAATATGCTGTGTATATTATAACTTTAACGATACATTTCCCCTATTCGCACTTAAGATTTTTTCTAGGCAACTGCAGAGCAGTCAGTGATGAACACAGTGAATGTTAACACCAGGACATCTCAATCACAGAGAAATGCTACCAAGGGAAAATGGACTCCATCATTGTTACCTGGAGTTTACCTGGAGAGAGTTCCGGGGGTCAACGCCCCCGCGGCCCAGTCTGTGACCAGGCCTCCTGGTGGATCAGAGCCTGATCAACCAGGCTGTTGCTGCTGGCTGCACGCAAACCAACGTACGAGCCACAGCCCGGCTGGTCAGGAACCGACTTTAGGTGCTTGTCCAGTGCCAGCTTGAAGACTGCCAGTGGTCTGTTGGTAATCCCCCTTATGTGTGCTGGGAGGCAGTTGAACAGTCTCGGGCCCCTGACACTTATTGTATGGTCTCTTAACGTGCTAGTGACACCCCTGCTTTTCATTGGGGGGATGTTGCATCGTCTGCCAAGTCTTTTGCTTTTGTAGCGAGTGATTTTCGTGTGCAAGTTCGGTACTAGTCCCTCCAGGATTTTCCAAGTGTATATAATCATGTATCTCTCCTGCCTGCGTTCCAGGTTTAGGAACCTCAAGCACTCCCAGTAATTGAGGTGTTTTATCTCTGTTATGCGTGCCTTGAAAGATGCTGTTAGTGTGCAGCAATATTCCAGCCTAGATAGAACAAGTGACCTGAAGAGTGTCATCATGGGCTTGGCCTCCCTAGTTTTGAAGGTTCTCATTATCCATCCTGTCATTTTTCTAGCAGATGCGATTGATACAATGTTATGGTCCTTGAAGATGAGATCCTCCGACATGATCACTCCCAGGTCTTTGACGTTGGTGTTTCGCTCTATTTTGTGGCCAGAATTTGTTTTGTACTCTGATGAAGATTTAATTTCCTCATGTTTACCATATCTGAGTAATTGAAATTTCTCATCGTTGAACTTCATATTGTTTTCTGCAGCCCACTGAAAGATTTGGTTGATGTCCGCCTGGAGCCTTGCAGTGTCTGCAATGGAAGACACTGTCATGCAGATTCGGGTGTCATCTGCAAAGGAAGACACGGTGCTGTGGCTGACATCCTTGTCTATGTCAGGTATGAGGATGAGGAACAAGATGGGAGCGAGTACTGTGCCTTGTGGAACAGAGCTTTTCACCGTAGCTGCCTCGGAGAAAAGCTCTGTTCCACAAGGCACAACTCGCTCCCATCTTGTTCCTCATCCTCATATCCGATTACTGATGGACAATACCAAGAGATGCTCCAGAAATGAAATACGTATACAGGACAAGCAAAGATACCTCGGGCTGAATCAAAGCAAGTGAATAAGAAGTAAAATCATTATACAGGTATATTAATATTCCTTGTTCAAAATTTGTTCATCATTGTTACGTACTTATTTCCATGTCTCTATGATTTTGTACATCTTCTGATAACTGATAAAATACAGAATTGGTACCTAGTCGATAATTATTGCTTAATTAATACTATTACAACTATTTCTTTAACACATCACTCTGTCCCTTTTTTCAGTGCCACTACTACCTTCTTATTGCCATCTCTATTACTGTTGCATCACTACTACCAACTACCACTTCTAATATTACAATAGTACTACACCCTCCTCCCTTTCTCCCACTCCAGGCCCCCCATCTCCCTCTAGTACGTCTGTGTGACTAGGTAATGGTCTATGTCAGACCGAAACATCATAAGCATGTTTTCTGTGAGCAGGTTATTTGAGCATTGTTCATCAAGGTATTGTGTCTTTCTTATTCTAACCTGAAATGCGTTTAAAAAAGTGGTGTGGTAATATGGAATATATATTCTAAGGGGATAAATAAGTATACAAAAATGTGATGGGCTGCATAGTGAGAACAGCTTACTAGGTTTCAATGTATTGGATGATAAAATGTTGAAGGGTATACCTGTAAATATACCTGAATGTTTATTTATTGGTAACTAGAGTAAGAAAAGGTTGAATGCAATAAATGTTGTGTCACTGTATAGGAGAGAAATTAATTTGAATACACTAAAGACAGAAGAATAAGTATCAGTGCCCTGTTGAACTGATAGGAATGGGAAAAGGGAAATGGGGGGAAGAGAGAAACTGAGCATGATTCAACTTGGGTAAAAGCAGTGCAGCATTAGGTATCAGTGAAAAAAAAAAAAACTCGCACCTGGTTAGCTAGCCTATAGGTCTATTGTAATTATAATTATCAATCTGTAGCTACAGGACCAGAGCTATTCTCATAGTATCCTGTCTTCAGTAAGTTTTTCCATCAATTTTTTTTAATATTTTCAATGGTTGAGGCCTTAAAAATTGAAACAGCTAAGTTTACCTGGAGGGTGTTTCAGGGGTCAATACCCCTGTAGCCTGGTCCACGACCAGGCCTCGCGGTGGATCAGGGCCTGATCAACCAGGCTGTTACTGCTGGCCACACACTAACCAACGTACAAACTACAGCCTGGTTGGTCGGGAACTGACTTTAGGTGCCTGTCCAGCTCCTCCAGGGGTCTACTGGTAATCCCCTTTATGTATGCTAAGAGGCAGATGAATGGTCTTGAGCCCCTAACATTTATTGTGTTGTCTCTTAGTGTACTCGTGGCACCCTTGCTTTTCATAGGGTGAGGTTGCACTGCCTGCAGGGTTTTGCTTTCATAGGGAGTGATTTCTGTGTGCAGATATATGACTAGTTCCTTTAAGATTTTCCAAGAGTGTATTATCATGTAACTTTCTTGCTTGCATTCCAAGGAGTACAGGTCAAGGGACTTCAACCAATCCCAGTAATTTAGGTGCTTTATCATACTTATACACAAAGTGAAAGTTCTCAATATATTCTCCAGGCCTTCATTTTTGCCTACCTTGAAAGGGGCCATTAATGTAGAGCAACATTCCAGCCTAGAGAGAACGAGTGATTTGTAGACAATTTTTATTGGCTTGGCATCCCTAGTTTTGAAGGTTCTCATAATTCATCCAATCATTTTCCTTGCTTGTTGTGATCGTTGAAAGTGAGATTCTCAGACATGATCACTCCCAGGCCCTTCACATTAGTTTTTTGCTCTACTGTGTGGTTGGAATTTGTTTTAATACTCTGATCCTGTTTTTATTTCCTCTAAGTTTTCCATAGCAGAGTAACTGGGATTTGTAACTGAACCATGCGAAAATCAGAAATACAGAAAAAGGAAGTGAATGGTATTGTGGCAGTAAGAAAATTTATTTAGATACAGGTACACACACAGTTACACAAATTATACGTATTAACATGTGTAAATTACCAAGGATAACCCAAAATAGTCGAAGTAACTTATTTCCCCGATGTGATAAAAAAAAGGACATAGGTTCAAAACAATTATTTAAAGAAAGAATTTTTGCAAAGTAACTTCTTTCTCCCATCCTTCAGTCATTAAAACAGGCCACACGTGGTGAAACGCTTCTAATAAATGTCCTAAACTGTACGTTGGCGAGTTTATTTAGACACAGGTACACCTAAGTACAAATATCATACATAGTGTAAATTATTTAGAATAACCCTAAAGAGTCAAAGTGACTTATTTCCACTGGGGTGCTTGTATTATCTTATTATTTAAATCTTATAAATAAATATAAATAAAATAAAATATTTATTTCTTCGCTAAGGTTACAATGTGTGTTTACATAACATGATTAGAGCAAAGAAAGCCACTATCATGTTGAGGCATTTTGGGCAGACTTAAATGTTAAAATGGCTAAGTAATTCAACTGTATAACAATTAAGGAATAATAATAATAATCTTTATTTCTACAAGTAAATGATACAACTTATACAGACCATAGCTGACATCAATGACATACTTCTATATAGAAAGTCCCTTGTTATGCAGAGCATTTCAGGCAAAAAATTGGTCAATTTTGTCCCCAGAATGCGACCCACACCAGTAGACTAACACCCAGGTACCTATTTACTGCTAGGTGAACAAGGATAGCAGGTGTCTTAAGGAAACACGTCATATGTTTCCACCTGTACCGGGGATCGAACCAGGAATCTCAATGTGTGAGTTGAGTGCGCTACCAACCCAGCTAGCAAGTGTTGGCATGTGAGGTGTTATTACTATGAACACTGGTGGCTAATTACCTGGATCCTACTCCAACTTGAGGGAGTGAGGACACTACTGAAGTGAGAAAGTGGAGTAGAGTGATTATAATTATTATAATCATGGAGAAGCGCTAAACCCGTAGGATTATACAGCGCATGTGGGGAGGGGGGGATGGAAGGTATTCAGGGAAGCGGAGTGCAGATCCAATTCCTAAGATCAAGAGCCCGTGACCAGCGTCAAGGAAGTAAGAGTGAGCCAGGAGCACCGGTCTCCTGCAACACTCACCTTACACAGCTGCTGACCCTGGGAGAGCTCCTCAAACGGGTGCCGGCTGAAGCAGCGGGAACAAGCGAATAATGCAGACATATTCATACGCTCCAGACGCTCTCTCTCATACAGAGAAATAAATAAAATGCAAGTTTTGGTGGGGGATGGATGAGTGTGCGAGTTAACTGGTCGACCGTCACAACAACTGAAGGATCATGGCGTCTCTCACCCTCCCTACCACCATCCTCCCTCCTACCACCTCCCGACCACCATCATCCCTACTACCACTATTATCCCTCCTACCACCACCCTCCTCCCTCCTACCACCACCCTCCTCCCTCCTACCATCATCGTCCTTCCTACCACCTCCCGACCACCATCATCCCTCTACCACCTGCTGACCACCACATCCTTGCTACCACCATCCTCCCTCCCTATACCAATATCCCCTCCCTACCGCCACCCTACCTCCCTACCACTTCCCTCCCGAATCCCTCTGCTGACTAGACCTACCTGGAGTTCATTACCTTTGTAAATTGTGAGTTCATTACTTTTGTAAATTGTGAATTCATTACCTCTGTAACTTGCTCAGTCATGTTGACGGCAGTGAAGGGACTTGAGCTAGAGTTCGTCACGGCCACGCTAGCTGGAGATTCGTCTGTAAAAACTTGCATTTGTGGTCACAGAGGTGCCTGTGCTAACTTTCCTATGGTGTAGAAATATACCTAGTTGGATGAATCTTATTGTGGCTAGCTGGTCTAGTGGCTAGCGCGACGGGCTGGAGTTTTGAGACTCTATGACCGCGGGTTCAATCCCGGCCGGGGGTATGGTTTGGTTTGCTCAGCTATCAAAACTTTGAGGCCCAGTCCCTGGACCCATTATGTACCTCTGTAATCTTTTGACTACCGCCCACTGGATGGGTATGGGGTGCATAATAAACATATTAAACTAACTACCTCCCTACCACTTCCCTCCCGAATCCCTCTGCTACCTCCCTACCACCTACCTCCCCAATCCCTCTGCTACCTCCTTAACACCTACCTCCCTACCACTTCCCTCCCTAATCCCTCTGCTACCTCCTTACCTTCTACCTCCCTAATCCCTCTGCTATTACCTGGAGTTTACCTGGAGAGAGTTCCGGGGGTCAACGCCCCCGCGGCCCGGTCTGAGACCAGGCCTCCTGGTGGATCAGAGCCTGATCAACCAGGCTGTTGCTGCTGGCTGCACGCAAACCAACATACGAGCCACAGCCCGGCTGATCCGGAACTGACTTTAGGTGCTTGTCCAGTGCCAGCTTGAAGACTGCCAGGGGTCTGTTGGTAATCCCCCTTATGTGTGCTGGGAGGCAGTTGAACAGTCTCGGGCCCCTGACACTTATTGTATGGTCTCTTAACGTGCTAGTGACACCCCTGCTTTTCATTGGGGGGATGATGCATCGTCTGCCAAGTCTTTTGCTTTCGTAGTGGGTGATTTTCGTGTGCAAGTTCGGTACTAGTCCCTCTAGGATTTTCCAGGTGTATATAATCATGTATCTCTCCCTCCTGCGTTCCAGGGAATATAGGTTTAGGAACCTCAAGCGCCCCCAATAATTGAGGTGTTTTATCTCCGTTATGCGCGCCGTGAAAGTTCTCTGTACATTTTCTAGGTCGGCAATTTCACCTGCCTTGAAAGGTGCTGTTAGTGTGCAGCAATATTCCAGCCTAGATAGAACAAGTGACCTGAAGAGTGTCATCATGGGCTTGGCCTCCCTAGTTTTGAAGGTTCTCATTATCCATCCTGTCATTTTTCTAGCAGATGCGATTGATACAATTTTATGGTCCTTGAAGGTGAGATCCTCCGACATGATCACTCCCAGGTCTTTGACGTTGGTGTTTCGCTCTATTTTGTGGCCAGAATTTGTTTTGTACTCTGATGAAGATTTAATTTCCTCATGTTTACCATATCTGAGTAATTGAAATTTCTCATCGTTGAACTTCATATTGTTTTCTGCAGCCCACTGAAAGATTTGGTTGATGTCTGCCTGGAGCTTTGCAGTGTCTGCAATGGAAGACACTGTCATGAAGATTCGGGTGTCATCTGCAAAGGAAGACACGGTGCTGTGGCTGACATCCTTGTCTATGTCGGATATAAGGATGAGGAACAAGATGGGAGCGAGTACTGTGCCTTGTGGAACAGAGCTTTTCACCGTAGCTGCCTCGGACTTTACTCTGTTGACGACTACTCTCTGTGTTCTGTTAGTGAGGAAATTATAGATCCATCGACCGACTTTTCCTGTTATTCCTTTAGCACGCATTTTGTGCGCTATTACGCCATGGTCACACTTGTCGAAGGCTTTTGCAAAGTCTGTATATATTACATCTGCATTCTTTTTGTCTTCTAGTGCATTTAGGACCTTGTCGTAGTGGTCCAATAGTTGAGACAGACAGGAGCGACCTGTTCTAAACCCATGTTGCCCTGGGTTGTGTAACTGATGGGTTTCTAGATGCGTGGTGATCTTGCTTCTTAGGACCCTTTCAAAGATTTTTATGATATGGGATGTTAGTGCTATTGGTCTGTAGTTCTTTGCTGTTGCTTTACTGCCCCCTTTGTGGAGTGGGGCTATGTCTGTTTTTTTAGTAACTGTGGGACGACCCCCGTGTCCATGCTCCCTCTCCATAGGATGGAAAAGGCTCGTGATAGGGGCTTCTTGCAGTTCTTGATGAACACAGAGTTCCATGAGTCTGGCCCTGGGGCAGAGTGCATGGGCATGTCATTTATCGCCTGTTCGAAGTCATTTGGCGTCAGGATAACATCGGATAGGCTTGTGTTAATCAAATTTTGTGGCTCTCTCATAAAAAATTCATTTTGATCTTCGACTCTCAGTCTGGTTAGCGGCTTGCTAAAAACTGAGTCATATTGGGACTTGAGTAGCTCACTCATTTCCTTGTTGTCATCTGTGTAGGACCCATCTTGTTTAAGTAGGGGCCCAATACTGGACGTAGTTCTCGATTTTGATTTGGCATAGGAGAAGAAATACTTTGGGTTTCTTTCGATTTCATTTATGGCTTTTAGTTCTTCCCGCGATTCCTGACTCCTAAAGGATTCTTTTAGCTTAAGTTCGATGCTTGCTATTTCTCTGACCAGTGTCTCCCTACGCATTTCAGATATATTGACCTCTTTTAGCCGCTCTGTTATTCTTTTCCGTCGCCTGTAAAGGGAGCGCCTGTCTCTTTCTGTTTTACATCTACTCCTCCTTTTTCTTAGAGGAATAAGCCTTGTGCATACATCGAGTGCTACCGAGTTAATCTGTTCTAGGCATAAGTTGGGGTCTGTGTTGCTTAGTATATCTTCCCAGCTTATATCGGTTAGGACTTGGTTTACTTGGTCCCACTTTATGTTTTTGTTATTGAAGTTGAATTTGGTGAATGCTCCCTCGTGACTAATCTCCTTATGTCGGTCTGGGGCTCCGCGCATACATGACTGAACCTCAATTATGTTGTGATCTGAGTATATTGTTTTTGATATGGTGATATTTCTTATCAGATCATCATTGTTAGTGAAGATGAGGTCTAGTGTATTCTCCAGTCTAGTAGGCTCTATTATTTGCTGGTTTAAATTGAATTTTGTGCAGAGATTTAAAAGCTCGCGTGAGTGTGAGTTTTCATCAGAGCTGCCTCCTGGTGTTATTTCTGCAACAATATTATTTGCTATATTCTCCATTTTAGGTGCCTTAAGTTGAAATCCCCCAGGAGCAAGATGTTGGGTGCAGGAGCTGGAAGGTTTTCCAGACAGTGGTCAATTTTTAACAGCTGTTCCTGGAATTGCTGGGATGTTGCATCCGGAGGCTTGTAGACTATCACAATGACTAGGTTTTGGTTCTCGACCTTTACTGCTAAAACTTCCACTACATCATTTGAGGCATTTAGCAGTTCTGTGCAAACAAGTGACTCTGCAATGTACAGGCCAACCCCCCCCTTTTGCCTGTTCACTCTGTCACATCTGTATAGGTTGTAACCTGGGATCCATATTTCGTTATCCAAGTGATCCTTTATGTGGGTCTCAGTGAAAGCCGCGAACATTGCCTTTGCCTCTGCAAGCAGTCCACGGATGAAAGGTATTTTGTTGTTTGCTGCTGGCTTTAGACCCTGTATATTTGCAAAGAAGAATGTTATCGGACTGGTGGTATTGTTGGTACTGGGGGGGGATTTTTTTTCCGGCATTAGTATCTGTATCTGTTGGTTTGGAGTGGAGGCCATCGACTGTGGTTCCACTCCAGGAATGACTGGATTTGGTGTACGATTTCTGCCATTTCCTGCCAGTTTTTTTTCCTTCCTGGCACTAAAAAACCTCTCCCTCTTGAGTGGCTGTGGCTACCCAGGTTTTCCCATGGCCTGGATGTTTTGTATCTTTTTGTCAGGACTAAGGGTCCTGAATCTGCACTCTCTAGAAAGACGTAGAATTAGGGGGGATATGATTGAGGTGTATAAATGGAAGACAGGAATAAATAAAGGGGATGTAAATAGTGTGCTGAAAATATCTAGCCTAGACAGGACTCGCAGCAATGGTTTTAAGTTGGAAAAATTCAGATTCAGGAAGGATATAGGAAAGTACTGGTTTGGTAATAGAGTTGTGGATGAGTGGAACAAACTCCCGAGTACAGTTATAGAGGCCAGAACGTTGTGTAGCTTTAAAAATAGGTTGGATAAATACATGAGTGGATGTGGGTGGGTGTGAGTTGGACCTGATAGCTTGTGCTACCAGGTCGGTTGCCGTGTTCCTCCCTTAAGTCAATGTGACCTGACATGACTAGGTTGGGTGCATTGGCTTAAGCCGGTAGGAGACTTGGACCTGCCTCGCATGGGCCAGTAGGCCTTCTGCAGTGTTCCTTCGTTCTTATGTTCTTATGTTCTTACCTCCCTATCACTTCCTTCCCTAATCCCTCTGCTACCTCACTACCACCTACATCCCTAATCCCTCTTCTACCTCCCTACTACCCACCTCTCTAATACCCTCTTCTACCTTCCTAAAACC